TATTTTAGAATTTTGCATCTCTTTTTATGCTGTATGAATAAATCACAGAAGGGGAAAATTTCTCGACCTTTTCACGGCCTTAAATTCCTTCAATTAACCTTAAGGGCTTTTTTACAGACCGAAATGAGAGACTTGCCAACCATTTTATATACTTCAACTAGTAAAATCCCTGCCCTTTCATATACCCGAAGCCAGAAAAGTGTACCCCTTTCGGGCGGAGCCTCCTCGTATAGGCCATGATAGGGAGTAACCCCTCCCCCTCCCCCCCGGCCGGGGAAACGCCCTCTAAATGCCAGTAAATAAGTCGTAATCACAACCAATTTAAAAATCTCATATTTGAAACAAACAACTGTTGTTACTCTGTTTTCTCATCCTGGCGTGGTATCTTCATGTATATCCACTGTCTTATTCGTCGGATATCAAAGGTTACCGGTAAAAAGTTTGCACCAACGTTAGACGACCTTTTTACACCCACTGCTTTGCCAACATTTTGTTGGATGGGTTTCCCGGCTCTGAACGCTTCGATGTTGACACAAAAACTACAAGTGGTCCCGAGCGATACCGAGTTTCAAGTACATTCTATTTGACTTTATCATGATTATACTCTTTTCATTCTGCCATTCTAGGACTACACCACCAGCAAGAACCGTTCAACCAGGTAAAGTAACGATGGTGTATGAAGAGAACACTTTAAGTATCCCATCCTAAATTCTACTGTAACAGTCTTAAATACTAACTTAAATACTTCAACTCAATTCTTTATTCACACTATATAAGATATTTACATAAGTTTACGTAGGTAGGAAAATAAAGTAGCTGACAAATAATAATTAACTAAAAGACATTAAGTTCATTTGTGTAAGGTGTCCAAAGTAGCAAGAGCTTTCTTGTTGGACACCGTCGTGTTGAAATAATTGGCAGCAGTAAAGAGAGGAATAAAATCTCAAATAATATCAGTGATAGAAGATATTAGCGAGGTCAGATTTGGTTGGTTAGAAGACAGGACTTCCATTCTTTCTTAAACTTATGATATGGCAGACACTTGAGACCAGGCGGTACAGTCTCCCAGATTTTACTTACTTATCTGTGTTTTTTTCTTCCCCCTTGTTACTTTTTCCCGAAGAAAGGAAAACCGTAAACTGGAGAGGGTGGGCAAGTTTGGCATTCACTTCCCGAAGAACGCAAAGAAAAAGAATATTGTATCTACCTTGACCCAATTTGTGATGTTGTGTTTATTGAATCGATATTTTTTTATGTGCGTCGGTTTCCCAAATCTGCTTGTAATTTCCTTCAGTCCCAGAGTGAATAATGTAGTTGTTTAAGGTAGTTCTAACTTTTGAGGTAGAAGAAGAGGCCGAAATTTGCAAATTGTTCCGAAGTTTGACTTTGCCACTTTGGGAATGTAAGAGCCAAGCAAGTGTACTTTAACTTCTCGCCTTACATCAAGCAACTGAAATTGACTTGTTATATCCAACTGCAATAAAAAAGGATCCATTTGTCCTCAAAAAAATTGAAAGCTATGCCGTAATATTTTTCTCTTGTGTTTATTGTTTTGTTCGTCCTTTTTTCTCAGCTGCCTTGTATAGTGTACCGTTGTCCAGAACAGTTCTTCCTCCGATCCGGGGTACGCATGGGACAGCCGATCAAGAAAAGAAACAATATCCTCAGGAAGAGGAGGCTGGTAAGCCCATTTTTTTTCAAGCTTTTTATCTGTACCTTTCATGTTTCATCTCTCCTTTCATATATTTACTCGTAGGTTTGTCAAAACTGTCCACTTCCTGAACATGCTCAGTTACTGTCACCATTTCCTTTTATAGCACTCTGGTTTGTCAAATATTTCAAATCAAACCAAACTAGCCTTCGGCAATTAAACAGTGTAATCTACTACATGCACCTACGGGAAAAATTTTTAGAGTGAAGTTCTCAGAGATGCAATCTAGTGCATTCTGGACGCTTAAATTTAGCAAATGCCTGGTTTTCATATTTAACATGTAATGCTGAAATATTTAATAAACCACAGGTGTGGTTGTGGTCAAAGAAGTAATTAACACGTTATGATGCTAGCAGGGGCCGAAGCGATTGCGGCGAGAGCACAACCTCCCGGCTAAGGCGGCAGCATTTTCTCCCTGAAAAATTGTCAAATCCAGTTTGCTTGAGACGGATATTTACTGCATGCATTCTGGAAGCTTTGGTCATTTGAAACTAAAAATGTAGGCTTGGAGCACAGATTCTTTTCTTACTAACAATGTCTATTAAAGATAATATATTTAAGTGACAAAGCTCAAATTCCCGGACAAAAGGGGGGTGCCGGGCACCCTGGGCCCACCCCTAAATCTGCCCTTGTTATGAACTTTATTATTTTATTTATTCATTGATTCATTTATGTTTTTTTACACAATTCTTCTCGCGAAGATGACACCTCATATACATTCTTTAATCAGTGTAGTTACAGCTGTAGGCCTATCAAAATAAAGTTGATGGAATGAATACCGCTGCATTTATCTGGTTGTCAGCAATTATATACTCCTTCGTGGGAATTAAAGTTCCTTTGAAGGAGGTTCTTAAAGGAACGTAATTAAGAACCTTTTTTGCCTAAATTGGCAATAACTACCTCAAAATACAAGAACCTTTTTGCCAGACTTCCAAAAAAAGGTAGGTTCTTACACGCGGGTTTTTGCTGTGTGATTTTTCAGAACCTTCCGATAATTTGGGCCAACTTTTTTACCCTCAGGACGTTTGAAAAATAAGTTTTCCACTGTTTTAGTTGGCGAAAAGACGATGAATTAGAAAGCGCTCCTAAATCGATGTCCCGTTAAACCGCACATACCTATATCATCAAATTTTCCTCTGTTGCACGCTTTTGTTTCTCTCTTCCCAGGCCCCCTTCCTGACAAGTCCCCGCTGACCGTGGATACTCCGGTCGAGCCTTCAGCTCCGCCCAGACCCCTGTCAGCTGCTTCTCAGGTTCGTGTGGTTTCACCTGTTTCTGAACCAGAGCAAGAGTTTAACACCGAGGTGCCATTCGAATTCCTTTGTCCAATCACAAACAAGATTATGAATGACCCAGCCACCGCCGCAGATGGTTACAACTATGAGCGAAAAGCCATACGTCGCTGGTTCCGCAGAAAGCGAACTAGTCCGATGACAAACGAGGAGTTATCGGATTTGACAGTTCGGGCTAACGATGCGCTAAGAAATCGTATTGAAACTTTTGTAAGAGAGCATTCAGAGGTGTGACCTTTTCTCAAAAAAATAAAAATAACAAAGTTGCTTTAGGAGCTATCCTAGCCTGCGAAAGGCGGACGTTTCTCCTCGCTCATCGCCGCTGAGAGACGTTTCGCGAAACATTCCTCAGCGGCGATGAGCGGGGAGAAACGTCTGCCGTTCGCAGGCTAGAGCTATCCACACTAATCTCTACACATTGAAACTTCGGTATGATTTCTGCCACACAAATTTTAAATCTTGAAGATTTGGGCTAAGTTTTAAAGGCAGTTTTTTTACGTTTCTTCGACTAAAAGTAGATTAGTGTGGAAATGTCCTTGGTTCACCTTTCACTAGCAGTAAAGAAGCTAACTGTTTTTGTTGTAATGCTAATACGAAGGCTTTAGGACTTATTTCCGTGTATATATATTTTTTTGTGAGATGTTTTTTCCTTGTGTATTGTCTATAAAACCATAACATTGAGAATTTAACGGAACCAAATTTGTAGGTCTCTTTAAGTCAGTAATTCCTCTTGAGTGATAATTACGCAGTTTTTTTTTTGTGTCTGTAATACCAGTTAACTTTGGTGTAATACAACGTATTTCACGTAATTTGAAAAGAGGAAGGCACAAGTCCAGGTTATTTTTAAATCGTTCTGCGGCTGTCTTTTGCTGAAGTCAGGTGTAGAAGAAGCATCAAATTTTGTGGAATAGTTCTTTAATTATCGGGCATATAAGACCTGACCAGCAGGTCGCGGACAATTGACGGTATGTGTGTGAGTGTGTTCTGAGCAAGACATTTTAATGTAAAGGTTGTGGTTCGATTTCCTCCTTGGTTTGTACTGATTTTGTATTTTTATTTTGAGAAGGGTATGGTAATGTACGATAAGGAGTTGCAGACATAAGATACTTATCAAAATTAAACCAGGGATAAAACCGAACCACACCAACGAACAGGTTACAATGTGACAGACGGTAGGAATGTTGTTTTTATTGTAAAGCGTGTGGCGAGAGCAATTCAAATGTATTTACCAGCTTCTGTTACTGAACCTAAAGCTTTATAACAAGATAAAGAAGTTGGCAATGGAAGAAGTAATTGTATCGCTTCCAAAAATGGAAATACAGAGTCCGCAGTCATCACATCGACATACGTTCGTGCAAATTTACCGGAGATTATTTAGTGTGAACACATTTCCGGTTTGCGACACTCTACCTTTAATTAGGAATCGGGCCGAATTCGCGGTTCTTTCGTGTGAACAGAAGGCCTATCTCATCCGATGTGATTTTCAAGGCGGCGCAAAAGCTATGCGGTGTAATGTGAACATAGCCTCAGATAAAGTTAGTAATTAACGGAAATCAAAGTTGTTTAATTTACGTTATTGTAGTTAATGTTATTATCTTAAATTATTTAGTGCGGCCATAAGCCATTTTTTCTTTGTTTGATACGATGTACATACAACTCTGAAAAATGAGTAGAAACAAGCAAGTTCTTTATTACACCGATCAGTGTTTAAAATTGTAAATCTCCCAACCAGTAAATTGCTCTGAGAACTTTAAAACAATTATGTGTAGAACTTAATAAAATATTTTCATTCAACGTCACACGAGGAATCATTGTACTATAGCAGCGAGGATTCTTTTTAATTGGAACAAAGATTCTTTGACAATAGAATCGAAAAATGTAGACATAAAAACTCAGTTCGGGTTTCCAAAATCAAACTTGACTCAGAATTTGAAAAAAACAAATAAAGTCTTCATTAGAATTTGTCAACCTAAACGTCATTGGAAGCATTGTTAAAGCTACTGTTCCGGTAAAAACTTGTACCACAAAATTTTTCCGCTGTCTTCGACAAATCGGCAATAGCTGTCTGTCTTCCAGAGCGCTTTCCAGATAGGTGTGTCGTCGTAAGTGTAGAACTTTCCTAGGACTGGCTTTATCGCCTCTGTCGCTTCAGCAATGTGATAATGAGGCATATAGGAGAAGAGATGATGTGCGACGTGACAATCTGTAAGGTGATGGAAAACATAGTTGAGTATTCCATAATCCCTGTCCACAGTGCACAGCGCGCCTTTAAGCCAGGTCCACTCCTCGTCGGAGTAGTGGGGGACTTTGATATCTGAGTGCTGAAGATATGTTACAATCACAAGCCACATGTTCACAAACAGTAAAGGGATTACGTACAGGCACACCAACCAACTTAGAGAGTAAACATACGCAGTGACGTAGTACAGGATACCAATCCATACCAGTAATGCCAGATCACTTAATACGACTTCCCAGAAATCCTTGTTCGAGAAAATTGGTGCGTACGGGTTGAAGTGGTTTGGGCGCATTCTATATTCTGCGTATGGGCGACCCCGGGCGTTGAAGAATAGATAAGCCGGCCAGCCAATTGATAGGTATTTAACAAGGTGCAAAAACCGAAAGAATATGTTTGGAAATTCTAAGTCATTTTCCGACTTGAGCAGGCCTCGGGTGTTCGGAACAAAAGCGTGGTCGCCGATCATTCTGTTGGTGTTTCGATGATGCTTTGAGTGACTGATTCGCCATGAATGATACGGTACAAATAGTGCAGTGTGCAGCACTAAACCAATAATGTCGCAGATTTTTTTGTTGGCGCAGAAAGAGTAGTGGCCGCATTCATGCGCAATTATCCATACGGCGAAACCAGCGCAGCCTTGGCAGATCCAGTACGCCGGCCAGAAAATCGCGTGAACATAAATTGGGCAACAGGCGTTAAAAACCCAAAACGCCAAAGCGTACAGGAAAATTACTCCAGCGAAGTCCAGTAATAGATACAGAGTAGAAGTGAGAAGTGAGCTTTGAAAACAGTGAGGAGGGACAGCATCTTTTAAATCTTTTAGCGTGAAAGGAGGATTCTCTGTTGGAATTCGCGCGCCAGCAAAATCTTTGTGAAGATTCGTAAGTTCTTCAGTTGGCAAATTCTCCTTGGTTCGTTTCCTTGTCGAATCGGTCATCTTGAAGTCTGGAAAAATTCACTGAAGTGAATTAGATACTGAATAGAACAATTCAACCAACTCTGTTATTAATGGATGTAAGTCACACTGGGCATTGATGCTGTGATTGAGTGTTGTGTATGTTTAGTAGTCGTGCAAGGTATGTGTTTGCCAGAGCAAGCGAATAAGCGGCTTGCATAAGAGTTAATAACCTGAATAATTCAACAAGCACCTGTTTGAAATTTAATAAATAAATCAGCGTAAATGGCGGGTGGTTAATTCGCTGTAGCCGCAAAAGAGCTCTCTAGAATAACAAGTAATTATCAGATTATCTTCTTGGCAATGCCTTGAATTCACTTTAAATCAATACACAAGCGTATTTAATTGCTACAATTTAGTCGAGATTCGAAACAGCGCTGTTGCAGTTAAACCACGACAACACTTTAAAAGAATCGCTCACATTAATTGAATTGTATTTAATAATTACTTACCTTGTCGTCTTTAAAGAAAATTTCTTCGCCATACCATTGTTTTTGACGGGAAACAAAATCTTTTCTTTTTTAAATGCCAGTTGCTAGGAGACGATAGTGACGTGCGCGCGAGATTCGAGCGGTGAGCCGTCAATCAGTCAACAATGCGCACTTTCAAATTGACTCGCCACATTACCGGCACACCGTAATTTTCTCTTGAAATTGTGCAGTTGTTGACAAACTGTTAAATTATTTGTAAAGTTCAAGGTTAATTTTTTTGTGGCTCAACAGCTTCTTTGAGAAACTGACTGAGTGTTTCGCTCCCTTTCGAACAAAGAATTCCTCCCTTTTTATCATTGCGGGTGACTTAAGTTTGATTTCACTTAAAAGAAAAAGGCGGAAATACCAATTTGAAGCAAGGTTTAGAATTGTGCATAATACCGTATTAATAAAAATAATGAAATATTTATCACAATCTCGATGAGTTATGACTACATTTACAAACCACGCGCGACATGGCAAAAATAATCATTACAAACTGAAAACTTTTATTTTTTACTTTTTCACACATAAAACAACTAGTGATAATTGCAAAAGTATGAGTACACCGGGTTTCTTTTCTTTCTTCTTTTTTGGTATAACTGTAAGGGCACCACTTACAGTTATTCGTCATATTAATGCTTGTCTACGAGAGTTATTCCTGAGTTTTTCATTATGTTTTTTTTCCAACGACAATCAGTTGAGTTATAATTCATGTTGTTACTGATGATAAGAAATTTTAAAATCGATTCCAATTTTATGGCAAAAAGTTCTTCGCGTCGCTGAGTATCAATCTCAGTTGTGATATCACAAAATTGAACCGACAATAAACAATTATTGGTGGACGGTGAACTAAATATCACGATTTGTCAGTGGCGAGCAGATGCAGACAATGACCACTGAATTGGTAATGAGTGCTTCCTTGTTGTTTTGGTCATAATAGCCTCAAGACCGATAGAAACTTCCGTGAAAATAAAGCTATGTTCACACTGTACTGTGACTCCCCACTTTAGGGATCGGCGCGGCGCCGCTTCGTTAAAGAAATCGCGCCCAAATCACCAGTCTTGTGTATGAACACCGAGTAGCCCTATCCGGAATGGTTTTCGTGCCGGATATCCGGAATAGTGTACTATTTGAACATAACTGGACTTGAATGATGATGATTTACGTAACAGTAAAAACTGATTAACTTGATAATTATCGACAGGGCCATTTATAAGAGGAAAAATAAGACGCGTACTACAATAGGACGCGTCCTAAATAAGACTCAAAGTATCCCGTATAAATGGCGTATTTCGTTTGAAATTTAGCTAAGACGCATCTTAAGTGGGAACAGCCCCTAACACCTGTTATTCAATAAGACACGTCTTTGCTAAGTGGCGTCTTAATGTGCCGTTTATACGGGATAATTTGCGTCTTATTTAGGACGCGTCTAATGAAAGACGCGTCTTATTTTTCCTCTTATAAATGGCAATGTATACAAACTAAATACATATCACGGGTATCATGCCCTTATGATTCAGTTTTTCTGTTGTAATAAATAGACAATTGTAAGTATCATCACAGGACTGTAAGGCAAGACTAGGGGTTTACTGAAATAACGGATGGATCAGTCTTGATGTCCGATCACAGCTGCTACTGCAAAACAAATTAATATGAGGCCTGTGGTATTCAGCGTATTCTGTGTCCTGGCAGGTCCTATGATACCAATTCCGGCGAAAAAATCAGGGACGTATTTGAGGGGAAGAGAAAACCGGAGTGTCCGGTAAAGAACCTCTCGGAACAAAAGGGAAAACGACAATAAACTCAACCCATACATGGCATTGATGCCGGGATTGGAACCCGGACCACATTGGTGGGAGGCGAGTCGCTCTCACCACCGCGCCATCTTCTATAGTCAGGTTTCATTTCAGTTACCCTTTGGGAGGATCGAATGGCGCAGTCATTCTTTGAAGCCAAGATAGCAGTTCTTTTTATGATGATAATGAATACGAATTCAAAGATGGAAACTGATTCTGATTCTCACTTACTCAATTCAGTCCTCATTGCTCATTTTTTTTATAGTAATTTGCATTCCTTATGCGCGAGCGTTTTGCATTTAAAAGATGCACGTTATCGCGAATCCATCCCAGACTCAGAAGTCATCAGAAAACAGAGTTTCAGTCTTGCCGAAAACTCGCTTTGAGCAACCGAGATCTCAGCAAGCGGGTCAGTCCGCTTTCTCATATAAAAACAACGACAACTTTCAAGGCAACAAGGCATGAGCCGAGCCAGTCGGGCAAAGAGGGCCCGCCTGGCTAATCGCGCTGGCGGCCTCATAAAAACAGGCTGTTAATCTGGCATAGGGGGCAGTAAGCGGTTTGATGCACACAAACTTCTCAAATGAATGCTTAAATTTCATACACAACATTCACCATGGCAACAAGGGTCAAGCTGCCTGCCATGTTATAAGGCTGTTATCAATATGCATGACTTGTCTTTTGAAGCGACACCGTGAAAGCACCGGTATACAGTGATGAATATAACATGAAGGGCCGCGGACTACAGCGAAAAACTGACCACAACGACCATTCAATCTGTGATAATATAACTCGAAAACCGAAAACCATTTTTGTTCTGGAGGACATTATTTAGCTCATACGACGATTTATTGGAATTAGTGTTAGGGGTGATGGTGTCGACAAACCACTGTTAGAAATTTGATAGGAATTTTGAAATACGCTGTGAATCAACAGAGTGATATCATATTGGTAAGTGTCTCTAATTTTTTCAGTGAAGCAATTTGTTCAATACAAAATCCCCCGAATTAAGGTTAGAAACCAATAACTTTTTTTTTCAAGACTTCTTTTCGCAGTTTAAAAGTAAAGTTCTTTTATTATAAAAAAAAATCCGTTTTAAGAACGTGTCTCACACTTTCTTTAAAGTTAAACATAGACGCAAATTCTCTGGAACAATGTTCTTTTTCCTTATCCTTATAGGGCCAAAAAATAGTTCCACACTTAAAATTAAAATTGTTTTTTAAGTCATTTATCAGCGCAGATGTCGCCGATTTTTCCCCCGTGATCTTTTGACTCCGTAATTCATGGCTGTATCTTTGTAATTCTATTACAGGTAGTTTAAAGATGACCTTCTCGCTCCATATTGTTCTAGCTGTTTTTTTCTTGTCTTCCGCCTGTCAAGCAGAGGACGATGACTTCGACAAAGGTAATTCACCTTGTAAATCCGTGATAGGTATTTCAACAGATTTCGAGTGATTAATCTCTTCAGTCTATAAGGACGTTTTTCCGCCTCCTTCATCTTTTTGGGCTTTCTAACGTACTTTATGTTTCACACAAATGAAGCAATGTATCGAAGCAAAGATCTGAGAAGTAACAAGGCCACTATTATCGTAGAATAATATTAAATAATATTGTTAAGCCGAGAACTATTTTTTTTATAATTGTATAATCAAGACGTTAAGTCTAATCCTCGCTCGGTGTCATTTAATAAGTAAAATCAGATCGGTGACAATTTTACTTTTAAGGCAACTACCGGTTACTCGAAAGAACCACTACACATACAAAAACGCTGAAATTTTTTAAGAATTTCACAAACGATTTTATTACTGATATGATGAAATTGCAACTGAGGTATTATTTAGCCGCTGTAAAGCAACTGATTCAGCGGAACAGCGGCGTCCCAGTTTAGATTTTGGCGGTACGGTTTATGTGTCATCAACAAGTACTACAATAGAGCACCTTGCAAGAGAAGAATGGTACCCGTATTGAAGACATTTGTAGAATGTGAACAATTTCAAAACAAACACTTTTCAAAACCAGTAGATCAATGGTTTACTGATGTGATCAAGAAGCAATAATTATCATTTGGCCCCATACGCATCCTTTTCGAAAATTTCTTGCAATTCTCCATCACCCACCCTATACAATATATGTTGAAACAAGGGAAAAGTTCTGGATTCAAAGACGCGTTCAACGCTGTTTATGGGATGGGGGGAGGGGGGGGGAGGGAGAGGGTTGGTAATGTGTGAATGCAAATTTGCACCAAGGTTTTTGTCTGTGATTGTAGTATACAAACGAATTGAAGGCTTTAACCCATTATCCTGTCTTGGCTTTACCAATCTTGTGACACCTTATTCAAGTCAGCCAGTGAAAAGACTTTGAAGACGTGCAATCTAATGATTCAGAGTAATTTTCTTTTCACGGAAGGTAAAAATGTCTGATAATGTTGTGCAGACACATGGTCACTGTATACACCGATTTTGTGTTTTCAAAAAATTTGTCTCAATCTTATTGTAGGACTCAGACATTTCCTGAATATGAATAAGATTCAAGTTGATTTTGCTGGGGACATCATTTTTCGGTCAGGAGAGGGCAAATCCGTGAACGATTATAGTGACCATGTCTCTGATGTAATTCATTTCAATTAACAAGTGGATCCCAGGAAAAAAACATATTGTAAAAGGGACTAGACGGAAGATCGGCATAATACAAATACTTTGCCATTTTAGCGACGTTTCCCTTTGCCCAGAGTCACTGTCCAGGGCGGTATAAAGGCAAAAATCAAAGTTACAGCTTAGTTTAGCGTTTCAATTCGCTGTTCTGAAAAATTTTGCTTACAAATTTGCAGATGACCTTCCTTCGGCAAAACGCCTTCTTCAAAAAATCGTACCATTAGGCTCAATGCCATCCATGCCAGACGGCTTCCCTTCCTTGTCAGAGCTGAAAACCGACAACTTTGATTACAATATTAAGAAAGGAAAGGTCACTGTCGTGGCTGATTTAGAGGATCCTGTCAAACTCCTGGGACAGGGAATGACCATAGATGACGTGAAAATGACGTTCAAGTACGACAAGAATAATCCAGGTGGAAAATGGAGTTTCAACGCTGAAGGTTGGGTAAACAGCTATTTCTTTTGAGCTACCATGACATAATTTTCGTCCCATGTTAAGTAATCCGGATTCCGGAGTCCGGCAAAATCAGGAATCCGCCGGGAAATTTTCACTTGTGGAATTAGGACTGCAGGGTCTTGGAATCCGGAATCCGGCTAACGATTGGAATCCGAAATCCAAGTTCCACCGACATGGAATGCAGTTCCCGGGAATCGGGAATCCAGGGCGTGGAATCCAGAATCCAACACTGTCTTGGATTACCTTACATGGGAGTGATATTTCTCCACCTGCGTTATTCATGCTTTTTTTGCAGCCCGGTAGACTGCTTAGTCCATTTATTTCTTATTCAGTCCAGTTGACATGATGTATAGGCGCACCTACAGCGAGACAGAAGGAAGCGTTAACAAAACCTGGATCGGACCCTATCGAACCAACTCCTGTAACTCATAAAATGACAGAAAATTTTGGATAAAGGAACAGGTTGTGATTCGACCCAGGTTTGACTGAACGGTGGATCGAAGGATCGATTGGAACAAGAGACAACTAACATTCCCCAACCCGCTTTCTTCGTTGTGTCGTTCACAATAAGCTCATTAGGTGAATATTATAAGGGATTGAAAATAGTCTAATCATTATGGTAAAATGAATTGCTATCAGATCGTTGGTCAAAATTTAAGTGAGCTTGAAAAGTTGTCTTAATATATAACACCTTAAATCAGTGCATTAAGGGTCAACGAACATCAATTAGTCGGTTGATGTACCAGCTAGTATAGGACCCCCAATAAAATACCGTCTATCGTCTATTGTCAATTTTCAGTCAGCTTGTAGAAAAGTCGCTGGTGTCGTCAGTCAAACATTGACGATTTTTTTGATGGATAAATGCCGAAATAGTAACTGAGCTCAAAAAATGTTAAAATGGTTATCGATTTCAACAATTTTGGTTTATTACAGGAAAGTGGAATCAAGGTAATATGACAGCAACTGTGAAAATTGAAGAATCAAAAATTGGCGATCACCACACCATGGTTGCAGCGGCTGACAAAATCAACGTGTACGAAGTAGCTACAGGGCTTTCGGAGAGGAAAAGCGTGGAACATGCAGGAATGAACGTAGAAACGTTAAAAAATCTTACTTTGCAAAATGTGGAAATGTACTCTGTTTTTAAAGGAAACGAGGACTATGTGTTCATGATTTCTGGAGAACCACTTCTTGCTGACACACGCTCATCAGATTGCAAAGTTTTTATCCGCAAAATGCCTAAAAAGAAAAGCATATTCTCAGTGCTGCTGGAATTTGACCACGATTTACCTTCGCGAGCCCTCCTCAAGCTCGTCAGCGACGATCTGTTTAAGATTCCATTCATCAATCATCTCATCGCTAAAACACGAGTCTTTCGTAAGACCCGCACTAATTTTGGCTTTGTTGCATCGACAGGTGATGTCGATAAACTTCCTCTTAAGTCTTTCGGTGAGGGTATTCTGGCAAACGAATTGCAGTCACACATTTCTAAAGGGTTAACTCTCTTGCTCCCATTTCGCTTGGGAAATGAGGACACGAAACCAGTTAAGGTGGCCGTTGTGGTTAATCCTCCACTGGTCAAGTTTGTTACTTCTCGCCACGAAGATGTCAGTGTTGCGCAGACTCTCAAAGCTTTGTCACCAAGTGCTAGGATAAGAGTCCTACCTCACGGTTTCCCTAAGCTTTCCGACGTAAAAATAAATCATTTCAGTTATAACATCAAGCAAGAGACTTTTACTGTCCACGCAAATGTACCTGAAAGTTTCGCTGCAATTCCTGGTCTCCTAAACGTGTCAGATGTCAACGTAACGTTTCGACACCGCATTGCAGACGAATTCAACACTTGGTCATTCGAAGGACATGGGGTGTCAGAGCTCGGAGGGGCAAAGGCAAATATCTCCTTGAAAACAGAAGATGAGACAAAAGTAGTGTTTATCAGCGGCGAAGCAGAGAAGATGTCAGTTAGATTGTTGGCTCAGCAATATGGACTTAATTTTATTCCAGACGCAGAAAGCCAAGCCATCGTCCAAAACAGCCAAATGAGTGATTTTGATTTCATTACTCCAAGGATAAAGTCTGCCACGTCTGAGAAGCAGAAAAATCGTTACATTCACATCTCTGGTTTGGGAAATTTCCCCGGCGTTGATAAAACAACTGAGGCTGAGGCAGTAGTTTACGAAGACAAAGGACAACTGAAAACGTCAGTCGGTTTTATATTTCCAAAAATTCCGATGCCTTACATCATAGAAGCGTTGACTGGAATGGACGTGGAAAATTTGAAAAGAATACTAAAGAACAGTTTTAACACGTCATTGGTTCTTTCGCTGGACGATGACGATTCTCTCTTCGAAAATCCAACCCTTTCAGGGCTTTCGTTCGAGCGTGGTATTTCCATGGTGGGACTGTTTCGAATGCCTGTAGACTGTCGAAATGATAACTTGTGTGTGTCAGCAAAAAGCATGCTTGAAAGTGATCAGTGGTACAGGGTGCAAGGACTTGTCAAACGTGATGGGTTCACCTTGGCAGGACTGGTAAATCGCAACTACGTTCTAGGCAACGGCCTCGTGTTGAAGGATAACATGCTGCAAATTGCAATTAAGGATTATTCTACTTTCAACATACAGACTAGGATGAGTTTTCCCAAGGAAGAACTTACCTTCTCTGGAAACATAAACTTTGAAAACGGCAGTGCAGAGTTGACCATGCAGAGCCAAGACGCTTTTTATCGTTCTTACAGAGGCGGATACTTAACTTTTGACCAGCTTTCCTTGAACACTGAGATAATGAATTCCATTCCATTGCAGAAGCTTTCATTGACAGCACGAATGACACTGGGGACAGTAGGTAGTGGTCATGAGATAATGGCTCCTTGTTCGATATCTTACATCGCGATGGAGCCCGAATTAAGTTATGTGGATTCCACACTTACAGACATGACTATTGATAAAATTGTCCAGGCAATGGAAATCCCAAACGCGACACTTCCATATCCGCTTGCCTATGCCATCTTCCCTAATGGATTGGATGTGCTCTATCATCCAACGCCGAATGCCAAGACGAATTTTACAATGAGAGGTAAACTTCACATCTTCGATAGAACTTTTGACTGCGCGATGAAGTTGAACGATTCTCAACACATTCATATGACGTCGAACAACACTAAAGCACCCTTTGTGTTATCAAATGGCTTCATTGTAGTTCAGCAAAGTAAGACAATTTCCAAAAGTGGTCCGAAACTGGACGTTTCTGTTGCTCCTTTCGATGTTCAAGTCAAACTCAAAGGTTTTGCAAGAGTTCTTGGCGCAGGATCCTTAACGGAGATCAAAATTTCTGAAGCAGGCACAGAATTTCCAGTCGAAGGAAACCTTTTTGACATCACGTCAACTGGGCTATACATTTCTTCACCAGAGGCGTTGGAAGGATCAGAAACCTCATCATTCCAGGTGAAGTAGTCCATAAAAAGACATAGCCATTAACCATCCTTTTGTAGATGAGATATACATTAAACGGATCAATATTTGACAGTGGACGTTATTATGACCAAGGATAAATGTGGATTTATTACAAATCGTTAAATTCTATTTACTGGTCAGTTTTAAGCAATTTCATACATCCAACAAAGTCAATAAGTTTTTCCAACTAGTAAATTTGTTAAAGAATTTTTAAAATGGGGCTTGTTTTTTCGCCGGCTGGGTTGGCGAAGGGTCTCGAGTTTAAATCCAGGCCGGACCAACAACTAGTGTAGAAAAAAAGACTATGAAAACTTGTAAAACCATGTTAATTACGATAAAGTCTCAGTTCAAAAGCTTTCAAATAATCGCGTCATTGTGTGCTGACGTCGAAAGGGAAGTAAAAGTATATGTTAGAGGAAGGGATACTATTTCGTAGATTGTCAGGCATATTGTTACTGGAAAGTAAAATTGAGACAAGTTGCTCTTACGAAGTTTTAGTGATGATGGCAGACTAGACTACGAGTAGTCCCCTATTTTTCTTCAGGGATAGTAGAGCGAGCAAAATGCGAGCGCGCGTGAAAACCAACCCACGCGAGAAAAGGCGACACGCCGCGTGTCGCCTTTTCTCGCGTGGGTTGATTTTCACGCGCGCTCGCTTTTTGCTCGCTCTACTATCCCTGAGGAAAAATGGGGGACTACTCGTAGTCTAATGGCAGACCAAATCAATGGGAATTTCAGCTGAGTAAACCAGTAAAACTGTTCTCTTTTTAGGCTTCCGGTTGTCTTCCCGGCATTCATGAGCAAGTCCTAAAAGCTGTTGATACCCTTCTAAAAGCAGCCGCCGTAGAAGCAGACAGCTTCATTAACCAAGCGACAGAAAACTTGAAGGAAGCCAAGAACTATTACCGTAAGGCAACCAAAAATGAAGAATTCTATCGAGAGAAACTGGAAGAAGAGAAAGCAATTCTGGAGAAGAGAAACAAAGAGGTTTGGATGGCAGAAGAGCGATATAACAGTAGCTGTCAACTGGATGACTGTAAAAAGAGTAAGTAGCTTCGTAAGAAGAGTACTTAATGGCTAGAGATTGAGCGAGAATAATACTGAAAGGCATTATTTTGTTCTAGTCCACCAAAAAGAGTAGCCCAAAAGGCATGTAAATGCGAATTAATGGGGAGAGGAGGCAAGCCGGTGGATCAGTGCCTAATCCTACACTGAGACGCTCATCAACCGGTGGACGAAGTGATTTTTTAAATATTGTCAATTGATGTTTTAACTGTGACTATTAACCCAAATAATAGATTTAGCCGCGAAGTTATTGGTCGTCTGTCAGTAAAGCCGGGGTGTTATTGGCCTTGATGACTCTAGAGCGGGTCGCTCGTTTCGACCCCTTCTGTTGTCATTGAGATATCCGTTATTGTGTTATTAGTCCAATTTGTCACTATTTTGGTCTAGCTACTCTATCAAAATATCAAGAAGCGTTCTATGGCTAAATCTGTGTTCCAAATGGTACAAGGCTATCCACCGCCTGATCTGATATCGTGTTTGCTCAATACTCGCTCTTGTTAACAAACCATTAAGAACACTTCAACAAAAGTTGCCGATTCCAAATTCACGACCACCCAGCCTTAGATTTACAACTTGATGTTGTCTTTTACAAGATTCCGTGCGGCAAATTTTCATGGAGTTATATTGGAGAACGGGCAGATCATTCGCTTCAAGGAGAAAATGATTTAAAAACAGCTGCTGAACGGCTCAGAATCGCTAATAATGTTTGGTCTGATTTCATGACCATGGTGAACGCTTTGATCATTGACATGGGCGATTATCGCGCGTAAAAAAGTTGCTGGAATCCTGGTATAACACCATGATCACTCCTAATGCAGACAATAACTCTTATCTCCTCCCAAGGCAATATAGCAGTCTTTTAAGCAAGTTCCTAATGCACTCCTTCTTTCTCAATGGTTGTTTGATTCTATTGTATTTTTATTACACTTCACATAATAATTTTTTCATCTAATTATTTTGCCAGTTGATAACTACAGATCAGGCGGTCCAAAGCTCGTATTTTTGAAAACATTTTTAGCCAGAGAACTCTTCGTGATATTTTAATATGATCCCTTCGGCTGCGGCTCTACTATTTTTTCAGCTTCTTTGTTGTTGTTAGTTTTGATTGAATTCGTTGTTTGAACTAAGCTCGTACAGTTTGTAGATGTCATTATCCCCAATCAGTGACTTTCAGGTTAGATAACTAGTGCTACAAATACAAAGCGGGACCTCGAAAAATATCCAAAAGCCTCTCAAAACATGTCCAAAAAACCAAGATTTACCGCGTTTCGGACAATAATATCAATTAGCGATTTTCATTGTAATGATAATATATTGTATCATAAATTTAATATTGTTTCCCTACACTTTTAATTCCTATTTTAATCCTTTTTTCACGTTTAACCATTTAGGTTGTATCGGCTGTCCAGATTGGAACCGATGCTGCGCACGTGATGTGTTTGGCAGTTGTGTGGAATGTCCATCATGGAACAAGTGTTGTTACAAATCAGGAGATCCTGTGTGTGTTGCTAAAAATCACGGGTGTACCTATATACGGAGAGTAGCCGATGGAAATCTCGAGGACGCCAGGGTATATAACCTTATTTATAGGTGTTACCGACCAAGTAGATAGCTCAACATCGTTGTGACCTATAAAAACGCAAGAAATAGAATTAGATGTATCCAGCCACCTTGAAGAGTCAAGCTTGCTGAGAAGCCATTTTCGGTCATACTTAGCAACCTTGGCGCGGTTGTTCAAATCAGAAAAATATCCGAAAAAATGCTTTTGAACTGAAGAATAAGAAACATGCACAAAGTAAAATTTAATCCCGGGTTAGCGCTAATCGCCCTTCGAACAACTGAGCCCTGGTTTTCCTTTTCGTGACGTCATTCTGAGCCCAAACGTAAAAGTCGGTGCCCCTCTGAGAATGTTCAAGAAATTAATAAACCCTTTGTATCTAGTCGTTCACGTGGTATAAAGTCGCCAGGTTGGAGAGCAAGGGACGCGCTGGTACAAAACAAATAAATGTCGTGCATCATTTATAAATGATTAGTATCTTTGTTTGTCTTGTCGCAATACAGCATGGCGGTTTAAATTGTACCACGTGAACGGGTAGCTAGCTGCAGAGGGTCTGCTGAAATCAAACGAAACCGGCGTTAACGACATAACGCCAAAAAATCATGGATCCCATTGTGTCGCAAAATGAGAAAGCTGTAGCAAGTATAGTGGCGGTGAGATCCTTCGCTTCTCCACGGCCTGTTATTTGCCATTCTCTCTATAGCAACGTTGGTTGGAAATTGAATTATTTTCTTGAAGCTTTCAATGATCAAAATTTATAGTAATTTTCAGTTACTTAAAACCTTCTTTAACAGTTTTGTCCACTTTTTCTTCTAAGGATATATACCTAGACCAGAAGCGAAGAGTGGATAATTTAACTCAAAGCGTCTTCGACTCAGAATTTTCCAAAGGCAAAACAAAAGCAGTGTTGGACGCGGCTGGAAAAGCCCTTTCACTAATCGACAGAGACTCCACTATCGGAATAGAAGCATCCGACTCCATCAAACACTATGGCCTTGAAAATGTGCTCAAGATTCAAAGCATCTGTTTTCAAGCCCCCGTCGACACTTTGGCTACAAGCTGCATCAACATGACCGTCAATGCTAGCGTCATGGGTTCAGATGAAATCAAATCGCTCCCGTTTCACGCATGTCTGAACAAAGAACTGGTACCGCGCATGGCTCGATTCCTTGCAAATTATTTGTTCCCCGATATAGGAGCCACCAAACAAAGAAGAAGTCTTATCAGTGAAGAGAAGAACTACATTCCCGATGATGAAACCAGTGGAAGGCTAACAGACTTCCTACAAGGTCGGGGATTATTACGGAGAGCAAGGGATGCCGAGTCTACAGATGAACGTGACAGTATTGAGCCCTTCTGGGATCTTATTCAACAGCATGATCCCCTGAAGGTAGCGAAGAAGGCTGCGCCACCAGGCCATCCTACTATGAACAGCTTAAAGAGAAAGTGGAAAATACCAGGTATGTTGGCTTACTGTCTGAAGGAAAAGTTATCAGAGCACTAGATATCTAAAAGAAAATTTCATTGCAAATTAAACTTTTGCGTAAAAAAAAGTCCTGTAGTTTACTTTACATGTACAGGATTGTGCTTTATATAATCCTGACGGCTAAAATTAATTTTGCCATTTATTACTTTGGGACACTTTTTTTCGAGTAAACTCAAAAGTTCGAAATATCTTTCTTGCTGAAATCGGCTGGCTCGTATACCAAGAACCAACACACGCAAGATAGAAACAAAAACAGCATTCAAACTTACGATGATAAACTTTTAACAGTTTTACTGTTTCTTTTCTCTGCCTTAAAAAAGTGGCTGTCGTAGATTGATTACAACTCAGCCTCTCTCGCGTTAGAACATTACTGTCTGCAGTTGTGAATGGCGAACAATGAGATGAAAATGTGGTTTTGCAACTGAGTTAGCGTTTACTTAAAATAATTTTAATTTTGCAGCATCCAAGGCAGGAAGATGTAAGATTTATCACCAGCTGTTGGATATATGCAGGGATATGATGAAAACAGTGAAAAAGATGTATGGAACTTACATGTATGAGCGATATTTGTTCGCCAAGGAAAAGGACCGCTTCAGTCGAAAGCTTAAACGAGTAACGAAACAATTAGAATTGTCAGGTAATTATAACACTCTTCTTTGTCACCTCTTATAGACTCAGAGTCATCCAGACCACGTTTCTTTTGCCTATGGGAGTGTCCTACCTAAGCTAAGTGGTACTCCGCTAGGCGGCGAAAGGGCTACCAAGCATGCACCCCTTACGAGAAACTGACTAGCTTCGAGTGCACCAGAAGCTTCGTCAAAAATTTGAAGCTTCAAATTTAGTGTCATAATGCAGCTCGTAGCCTTATAAGAACAGTTGAATAAATCTTGCTTTCACGTGCTAGCAGATGTTCTGTAGCAGAGTCACTCAAAGAGCTAATGGAGCTAAGTTTTATTTTCTCCAACAGCGAAGGAGGTATCTGGTACAGAAGACCAAATGGAGAGGATTGAAAGAAGTCTTAACTTTGTCAGCGATGGTAGGTGCCCATTACTTCAACAAGAAACGTTCCGGCTATATGATTCAAGCCCAGGATGTATAGACTGAACAACATAACTTAGAGAGCTAGTAGATAACATATGCTTTACTCCTTCAGTGTCGTCGTCTCGTTCAGAAAGCACTCCCTATACTTTTAAAAACGTAAGCGGAATTCAAGTTTAGAACTTCTCAAAGTAGAAAATGGGATGATACAAAAACAGTTCAAAATAATTCTTATGAATAGAACTGGTATGACACTAAGTATAAATCACTGGCAAAAGACAACTGCAAGGACTAATCAAACAACGCGAAAAGACTGTAGTTACCATATTTCCACCTTATTAGGAAAATCACGAATTCACAGAAGGTTATGTGTAGTACCACAGTGAACGGAAGTTATAAATGGTGTCCTTTAATTAAATTGAAATAATGGCTTTCATGTGATGCGGTGCATACTACTCTCTTATTTCAGGTGTTAAGAAGTGGAGTAAAAAAAGCGAAGACGCATTAAAGCGTCAAGAAGCTATCAGCGTTGAAGCCTGGGTTAAAGCCATGGATAGCAGAATAATATCTTTGGGCGGAGAAGGAGTGCAAAGATTCTTGGGAAACCTATTCCGCGCATTTGACGGGCTGTTTGAGAGTTCATCACTTCCCTCTAAGTATGCTGGGAAAGCCATAACAGTAATGCAGAGAATACGGCAAATAAAATCGGTGAGTTGACTAAGAAAAGTCATCGAAATCCATCGACCTGCACTAACCCATTCAGGCTAAATCAACCAAGGCTGCGAGAGTACACACTATGGGGTATACATCAGGGACGTGAGGGTAGACATGTTGCAAGAGACTAGAGCCGCGGAAACCGGACATCTCGTGTAACGTTTTTATAATTTTACCCCCCTCCCCCACCCCTCGCCATTAAATGCACACAGAGAGAGACAGACATTTTCCTCAAACAAATTCTGTCCCTCACAACTTGTTGCATGAGAATCGACTGCGGTTTTGAATTTGTATGGATGAAGAAGAGCCAAAATTATTTATAGATTTTCATTGTACCCAAATACTAGTGCACACAAAATGGCTATGGATGTAACTATTTCGGCATAATGACCACAGAAAAAAAAGCAATGATATTTCAGAATATGGTTTAGCATAAGTTTGTTGTAAATATAAGAGGTGGCCAGTCGCGAAATGACCCGCAATCAAAAGTTGTACGACTGTAACTAAGTTGTTAAGAATAAGAAGGTTGAGGGGCGGTAAAAAAAGCAGATATTTGTACTGCCTCCAAATTTAAAGACTTTGGACATAATGTTACGATTTTCTCATTTCATACAGGCATTCGAGCAGATCTTCACGAAGAATATTACCCTCGGACGAGCCAACTACCACGCAGACAGGGTTCTTTATGACATAGCAGAAATAGCCGATGTTGGAATTTACTGCCACAAGAAATAAGCCAAACCCTTAATTAGCAAGAAAGAAACTGTTAAATCAGTTATGATAATCCTCATCGAGGGTATTAACCGACCAAACAATCGTCCAGTACTTTTTTCTAGTTCCTCTTCTTTACTAGAAGTGCTGATTTGTTTAGTACGTGTGAAAAGTTGGCGATTGTGTCAGATTTCTCTCTGGATCCGTGGATTCGCGGATCCGTGAAAATAATAATAATTTAACGAATAGCGTTAGGTAATTAATGTAGACTATGAGTTTGTCGTCCATCGGTTACAAAAGCAGTCTATTTTTTCGGCTTGGTTTAGGATTGCCATACCTTGTAATTGGATGAAAAATATCGCGCCTTTTTTATGATGATTTGGCGGCAGTCAGTTAAATCTTCCGCGTTTTCAGTCTCTTATATTCATTTCTTTAAGAGAGGCTCTGATTGGGTCCTTACGATTGTGCGCAGAATAGATCATATTCACTGCCCAAAGTTTTAATAAAAGAGAGACTTAGTTTCACGTTTACGGCAAACGGCAAACGTTATTTCAAATACCAAGCGGCCAAGATTCTTCCAAGTCGTTTACTCCTTATTTCGTCCACAAAAAGAAAAAGTAGTTTCATGGCATTTTTATCGATAACAATGTTTTTAAACAGTTTCTATCTGCTTATTTCCTATTTTGAGAAACTGTAAAATTGAATCTTACGTTTGCCGTAAGCGTGACACAAAATCTGTCCAACATGAAAGTTGAAAATTTTATAGTTCTTGTTTTTTTGCCTTTACATTCCAAGTTCGTGCTAAAGGCCTGAAAGTTTCAAGTACCAAATATTGATTCAAGTGACTTGCGAGGGCGGTTGAAATTACACCTCGATTGTTTTTATTTATTGGCAGTAAAAATCCCGCGCTACTTTTTCCTCCAGTCAGTTGTAAGGCTCAAGCGATTTGCATTATGATTGGCCAGAAGAATTGCTTTAGTTTTAGCTTGAACAACAGGTGTTAACGGGGTTTTCAAGCAGTTTCCGGCCATCTGAGCGCCCCTAATGACGACTGTTTCGACCCTGTTGAAGAAGCTGCTTTAGTTATGTTTTCATTGCACTCAGTTGGCTGCCAATGATGATCCAACGACCAATGTCATTGTGGTCGTGGAATTGCAGCAGGCACTCAATTGAAAATTACACTATTATGTAAGTGCTGAGTTCATCTGAGTCATCAGTATCAAAGATACAAACCGATGTAGAAATAGTTTTACTGAACGAAAAATAATGTTAGATCGAATCATAGCAAACTAGAATCCAGCAACTTGGTTCTTTGATAGCTCCTAGGAATACTTTCCATTTGCCCCCCAAAAATGTTATTTTAACGTTTGACGAAAAATGTGTTTTCGTCCACGGAGGATTTGTGCGGCGTGCTAGCGAGTAAAACCATACTTAGTGTACTTTGTTTTATAGTGGTCTGAGAAGCTCAAATCATAACACTTTCTTCATGTTTCTTAGGCATAACAATGATTTTAACCAATACGCTGATAAATTCTAATTCTTCCTCTAAGAATAAAATGTGAACTTTTGTAGAGAAAAAATCGATATGTTTGTTTGGAATTACTAAAACAACAAACAATAAATTGAGAGGTTACACTGTTTTGTACGTTCTTTTACTAAGTTTCTGTCGCGTAAAATATTGTGCAAATGATGCGGATCTCCTAACCTAACCAACACTTCATTAGACAAGTAATCAGCCTATAACATGGTGTGGTGAATGTTAAGTGTCTTCGCTTTTCCAAATTTGCTTCTTTTCTTTCTTGGTCAGATCAGCCGTAGTTTAGTATGACAACCGACGTGTTATTTTCAACCCCAGAACTGCCAAAGTTTGCCAAAAACTCGCGGTTGTCTAAGTTATAGGCTGCTGACTAAGGAAACTAGTACCAAACGACTGAACTGGGTTAGACAAAATTAACGAGCAGTCTCTCTTTTTTCTTAGTCCGCCGTGGAGTGAAGAGAGACTGATTGGGCCAGTTTGGTCATGGAGCGTAATCGAAGAGTAGCAAAACAGCCCGGGGGGTGGGGGGGAGGGGCTACTTTGGTCAATTTTTCCTGGCTATGAGCTGCTGGCCTCTTAGAGCCCCTCCCAATATAGTCTATTCTGTGGCCAATTATAGACCCCATCTCAGTCACTTTGGGGCAAAAATGTAATTTTTGCGATCCCAACTTAGTCACTTTCCATTTATGTATCTACCTATAATGAATGAAAAATACCAATAGTACAAACATTCTGGTGCGTTTGCTAACTGCTAATATGAGGAACTGTCTTACCCCCAAAAAACAGAAATTGTGCGACCCCGTTCTAGTAAACTCTATTGAAAATGCGACCCCATTATAGTCAATCCAGTCGTCAAAATGCGACCCCATCCAGCGGCACATCCCCATTAGCTTCTTATAAGGAAATACCTCCCCGTGCAAAACAGTTGATGTATCAAGGTTGCACATATTGATGGCAAATACTTAACTTTCGACAGTTTTGATCGACACGCTGTTACCATGGCATCCAAGGTACAGGTGCCCCACCCGCCAACAGTGAAAATAGTGACACCTGTCAAAAACAAGTGTAGCTTGAAGCGGAACAAATTAAAGTTCAAGGTTTTAAACCTCTAAAATACCTTTCTTTCTTACAGGAAGCTATAGATCGTTTTCACATGACATCATGTCGGCTAGGAGGGTGTGCCAAAAAAATCCCGTGGGTTTGAACTCTTTTTTCGCGTATTAAAGCTCTCTTTGTTGCAAAGATTTGCATAGCAGTTGACCATCAGAGAGAAAGCGATCTATTGAAGCCTGCTTTGTTCATAAGCAGTCCATTGCCATGGACTATCGTTATGTCAGGTAAAAATGCTCAATTCGAACTTCTAAGGAATTTTTCTTACGGACAGTAGAATCCCTTTTACAATAATTCGAACGAAACCTAACTTCTCTTTCACCAGTCAAACAAAGTATAGTTTTACCCCCCGATTTTTTAACCTCCCGATAATACGAACCAATTTGTTTTACCCAACCCGTAGTTTAAAAAATCGGGATACCACTGTATTCCTCTCTTTTACGCAGTTTCCGGTGTAAATGGGTGGTCTAAAAGTGATGGTGCCAAACATAAAAGATCACGTTTGTATCAACGGTGACTAATGTATAAGAAACAGATTTTGTCCAAAAAAAAGTGCAAATTCGAGTGGATAAAGGTTTAATCTCCAGCAAACACTGTTTTCCCTAACCGCATTTCTTCACGTGCGTGAGCTTTGTAACTCCAGACATTAAGGAAAGGCGTTTAGGGAGTGTTCCACCGGCGTCAGGATTTGCTATTAGAATCTGGCTGGATTTGTGATAATCCAGAGCAGGAGGCGGAACACGCGTGAAATCTTTTTAAAACTAAGGCTTTTAAGGGCGGATTGACTACTAAGACAGTAACACATTGTTTTTGGATCGCAGAAATTTAATACTGCCTTTGAGTTGTATCTAATTTATTAGTATTTTTACACGCACTACAAATCACATGAAAATTTCCCTCGTTCTTATCTGCCTTATCAAAAAAATAAATGTTAGGGATTGACTGCGCGGGCCGGTAAGAGTTTGTTGCCCGGCGTTTCCATTAGCGACTTTAAGACTTGGTTCCTGAGCAGGATGAAACGAAAGCTTCGATGCCATGCCATGAAAAGTATCTGTTCGCTTATTATCATGACAGCCCAGTATTTAACATGCGGAAATTGAAAGCTTACGTGTAACCAAACTAAGTGAATAGCAACTAAGTGTCTGGTGGTTGTATCTCCACCTGAATGAAACTAAAACGCGGAAATTATCGATGTTCAGGAGGTTTAAAACTTTAAATGTCAGCATATTGAACCTAATTGCTTTATATCAAACCCACAAAAAAACGCGTTTAGAATATTAAAAAACAGGTAAGAGTATGTATGCGTAGCGACACGCTTACACATAGTTCTCAGAGCTTCACGTGAATTGGTACATGATCGCAAGGCCTCTCAGTAGGCTATAATGGGGAAATTGGAGAGATCGATACACAGTGATAAACCTTTGGAATTTTCTTTGGTATGCCAATCTCGCAATTCTCACCCATGCTTTTCCTCCTACCCAAACTGAACAACGTCAGAATTAAGTTCCATTGACTCATATGTTCAGTCATCTCTGACTTTCGCAGAACAATTCAGTCAAATTAATTTAAGTTATTGTGCTAGAAAAGATCGAAACCAATGTTGCGAGCTGGTTTCTACAAAGTTCTCATGTGTATTCAAATTCTCCATTGATACGGGTGCCCCATTTCATTCTCGGATGATAAAAGGGCAATTTGAAAAAATTCCGTCAAGCCATGATCATGCATGCAAGATATTTTACATTATTTTTTTTTTGGCTATGTACTCATCTTAATTACAGATTGACGCCATTCTTTGAAAGCGTAAAAACTATGCAAAACAGACTGTGACGCACGTACATACACTGAATTCGCGTCATGAATGGAAGTGAACCGTAAAATTAGTCACCCTATGCTATAAGTTGCGAAAGTTTGTATAAAGTAAATTTCACCTACAATGCGATTTAAATGTAATCTTCTTATTGAGTGACGCCTGACAACTTGCTGAGAACGCCAGAATGTTGATTTTTGCTTTGTTTGGTTTATTTTTGGTCAAAACGTTTATCATTGTCAATTTTTGGAAGTTTGTTCCTTGTTTGCTGGGATGGTTGGCGTCTCCGTGATCCCACTTTCCCTTTGGAATAACGACTAAGGCTCGGTAATTTCTCTCCGAGTAAAATTTTATAACAAGAGGTCAGGGCTCTTACAATGATATGTTTAAAAATGCTAAGTGAAACGACTTGAGACCAGCATTATCACTTAAAGAACAGCCATGGCTTTTGGGTGGTGTATGTTGGGGGCAACAAGCAATAACAAACAAACAAACAAACAAAACAAAGCAAAATAAACAACGTTTCAGCGTAAAAGCCGCTTTTAGGTGTGTGAACTATGCGTAAAAACGACCACCAAGATGCGGAACGACTTCGATAGACCCCTGCATATGAATTCAGCGGATTATGGCTTCGGAAACATTTCCGCGGATCCGGCGTGCATCTGAGAACTACTTTTAATGTTTGTTCGGAAACTGGGCCCTTTAAAACTAGTAGACGCATTGTTGTTTGAGGGACAAACATTATGCCGAATTTCTGTTCCTCAATTGAAACTGCGGCAAATTATATGTCATATGGTTGCAAGAGTTTCCTGCCACCCTTCTACAACTAATGGCCTGACAGAGGCCTCGATCCCAAAGTTCCGCCGGTGCGGTTTGGATCGAATCATCTGAAAGGATAGAAAGTTCAATGTGGGAGGCTTGCCAAACCATGATTGTGAATCACAGGGACTTATGTGAAAATGACATAAGGAAGTTATTACGCGATAGTAAACCAGCACTTTCATCGTTCCCTTTTTGACTCGAGGGCTTTGTGGGCAACATATGGAAAGTGTCCTAACATCTTGTTCGGTAGCCAACCTAGCCGTGCAAATATTCATAATAACAGCCCAATCTGATACCTTTTTTTAATTGGATATAAAACAAATGACCTCGGGTATACAGGTCGCTAAATTCGTGTTTCTTTTTCTCATTTTTTTCGCTCGCTTCGCTTGCTCTTTTTTCGCTCGGGTAAGAGCTAGGTCGACTTGTAGCAAGTCTCAGTCTGGTTATACTTGCTAAATTGTCTCGAGTATATTAATGGTATATTACGACCGAACCCCTTTTTTATAGCCAAACCTGAGTTCAAAAACATCTAAATAAAGCCGTTTTCAAGTAGTCAGAATTTTCATGCCGCAACAATGATTCTGTTCTTCAAATCTTGACCTTAGATTTATAAACACCATTGAATTTTACGGTACTTTTCATTTTCCGATTGATTTGCATATGAATTTAATACGTCGAAGAACTGTCGAATAACAAACACAATGCCCGGAGGTGGTACTCTTTATTCAGACTATTCGGGTCAATAAGGAAGTCCGTTTAATTCTGGGAAGCGCTATGAGAAATATGAAACTCTAAAACGTTTAATCCAGGATTCTTTTATGGATAGAAAAGAAAGCCAATCATTAGAGACACTACAGCTTGTTTTCTCTTGCGCAACCATTGAATTATATTGGCGACTTCCATTTCGTCACTTCCCTTTAAAAGGTGGGCACGCTCGACTGCCTTACGTGCTCTGTAAACTGATATTCACGATCGGTGGGCCTTAGCAGTTAGAACGTTCGAGTGCGAAATACCGTATGCCAGCTGTTGCCAGTGTCCGAATTAAAAAGAGTCTAAAACCCTTGTGAAAAAGAATAAAGATTATTGCCCCGAATTTGCAGGTGCCGTTAAAAGACGAAATATGATAGTACTTTGTAAACTTGAAACCTGTCTT